GTGTCAGTGGCGGAGGTACTGAGACCTTGATGTCTGAGTAAACGTCTTTGAAAATCTTAAAGTACCGCTGTCTTGTAGGTTGACACCACACTGCTTCCGTCTTCAGCCTTGAGGATGGAGGTAGTATGTTCCTCTGAAACGTTGGCGTCTACATGCAAGCCCGCATGTGACCTCAGAACCCAAATGACCGACATATTCACCTTGACTGCAGTGATCCTCAAACCTGTAAAATTCTCTCGAAAAATTTTCTTGTAGATCCCACAATACCAAATGTTATCGAAGTTAGATCAATTGCAAGCAGACTTCTTCACCTGATTAATCCTTTAAGACCCTGTGGTAAGTATATGTACCACCTGCTTCACACAGTTAATAACTCCGCGTTTTGTATTTATGGATTTCGTAGGATTCTTTGTGCAAACAGCGATTATATCCTTAAACAGCGTTAACCAGTTGATCTTTGCAATGGTGAAGTGTTGTGTTTTCTTCGCGGTACGGACTGAATTCTTAAGTTTCATTTGAAAGAGCTTCGGCTCCAAAGGTTAATTAGCGTTTTAGTCGTATTATTTCCTTAAACAAGGTTAACCAGTTGATCTTTGCAATGGTGAAGTGTAGTGTTTTCTTCGCGGTACGGACTGAATTCGTAAGTTTCATTTGAAAGAGCTTCGGCTCCAAAGGTTAATTAGCGTTTTAGTCGTATTATTTCCTTAAACAAGGTTAACCAGTTGATCTTTGCAATGGTGAAGTGTTGTGTTTTCTTCGCGGTACGGACTGATTTATTAAATAATATTTAGACGAACTTCGGCTTCAAAGGGTTAACTTCTATCTTTATGTCTAACACGATTTTTCTTCTTCAATATTTGCCGCCTTCCAGTCAATTTTATGTGACAAATTCTGACCATCAGAGAGTCTCATCAGTTTTCGGTTAATTCTTGCTTCATATTCGAACGGTCCCGGGTTCGATTTTATACCCAGTAATCCACTATCCTGTTTCAGGTTTTTCGTGACTTCCCTCAGGAACCCTCACGCCCTATTACAGGGACAGCATCTTAAAATCGACCACGATTTCTGCATTCATAGTCGTTCTATCGTTGTTGTGTACTCAGCTAAACCAAAATAAAAATATAAAATATGCGGTCAACATGCGTGTTTTAGCTTCCTGTTCAGTTTTGTAACACGCACGACACATGAATAACTTTCTTTTTCCTGACAGGAAGTAAATTCATCTGGGATTAGCAGCCTATTGTTTTATTGTATCACATTAGCTTAATTAAAATTACTTAATTCCAGCTGGTACTGTGTTGGACAGATTCTCTGGTATTTTCGGTTAAGATAAGATACGAGTCCGTCCGTCCGTCCGTATGTAGCTTAGTTTTTTTATATATTGCAGTCCAAGTAAAGTGATTAGCTCAAATGCAGACCAGAATAGGCAGCCTCGTAGCGGGAAATCGAACTTTGGAATTTCTGAGTACGAAGCAGGAAAAACTATCCACCGAACAGTTACTTTCGTTCCCAAAACGTCGTCGTATTTTCAAAACAGTACAGTTACGGAAACGCGGAAAGTCCGGTGTATTATTTGTTACCGGAGGAATAGCAGTTAGTCTGTGGCAGACCGTTAGAACTTTTGGTCGTCCGTCCTCCCGCCTGGGGGCTCCTCCAAGGCCTTGACATAGTCACACAGGTGAATCATTAGCGGGTTATCCAAAAAAACAGATTAAGAGCACAGCAAAGAGCTGTGAGGATTGTCCGTCTACCCTAACAACACGCGACAGACCGGAAGTGTCGAGCTTTGGACTGATAGCTAAGTTGGTATCTGGTGGATATTAAACTTACGGACGGACGGACATGATAACTGTGTGTAAAAATTAATTTTGTTTCCGAAAAATGTCGAAATTCCTATTTAAAATACATATCAAGTCCGTGACGCTAGATTTAATGAGTTTGGGGCGGATTTTAAATGCTGGCTTTTGTGTTTACGGCGATGAACCTTGGTTTTTTTTTTAATTCGTTGTAACTTGTAACTGTCAACTGTTTAATCTAGTCTGATTACAATTGAGTCTGTTAAGCTTCTGACATGCAATAGTTGTCGTATGTTGACAACGGAGGATAATATTAAAATGGATTTTGGAAAATAGGATGTAAGTGTGTGCATTAATTTCAGTCTACTTAGGATATGGCCTGTTGGCTAATTTTTGTACTATTGGTGTTTCGTTCACAATGATTATGGAGTGGATGTTGGTATATGTGGGGTAGGTAGAGACGAAATTGAGACTTCCTATTGGCCGCCAGGAGGGGAAATACCCATTGAGGCTGTTCGCGGGACGTCTTCTTCTCTACGCGTACAGAGATACAGTTCAAGCGTCTTATTGTCATTAAAGCAACGATTAGTGGTAAGTTGTGTGTCGTGGCTTTCAGACTAAACGTCTAAACAGAATAAACTCTTGTTGTTTGTAAAGTGTATTTTTCTCGCGTTGAAAAGACACGAAGTCCTCTCGGCCTGGTAACATTGACCATTAAAAAATATTTTTTGAGATCTGAGTTTCTCAAGGCGACGAAAATGAATATAACTACCTTCTGAATTAGAAATTATGCAATATTTGTAGTTGGAAATCGTTGTTAAATAATCATTAATGCTAAGATGGAAGTTATGAATTGGAAATAATAACTAAAGAACGTGGTATTAGAGAATTTGCGTGCAGAGACTGAGAAAAATCTTGAGAGAAACTTCATCAGTTAGGATTCGAACCTGGGACCTCCCGAATGCGAAGCAGGTACGCAACATCGCTACAAGGCCAGGGTTTCATTCTGTTTTTACTCGTCGCACAGGCATGAATTTTAGAGTTAGCGGTACTCACCTGTTTTACTGGTACTCCATTCTCGAGGCTGACTGCTAGGTCTTGAGGTATCAGGCAAGATGCACCACACCACCGAAATTCACTGTCACTGATGAAACACTTGCGAGGAACTGATGTTCTCTCCACTTGCGACCTACTTAACGGGAATGTGGGTTAACCACTCTTTCTCGAGCTTTTCTTCTGAGTCCCCCACCACCACCACCACTTGCAGCATCTCGCCACAGTCGGGGATCCCGACCATGAAGAAGCATTCGATTCGAGTCCCGAAACCTTTACGTTTACTAATCCCTTCCCGTTGTACACGTTAATACAATTAAAGCATTTTATATTGGTCATGTCTGTCCATCCGTCAACATGTTTATGTCTGAAGTCGCTGAACGAGTTTCTTTTGTTTTTAATTTGATGTTAAGGGGAGACCGCGGTATAAGGTGTCAGGAATTTTAGTTTGGATCGTGTCTTAAAAACCCAACCCCTTCTTTAAATAACAAATCGTAAAAATAATAAAAAATTATTTACGTAAATAGAGCTATAGATATTGTTCGAAACGTGTTTCAGAATGATTTATACCCAATATAATTAAATATCGCTGAGCAATAGCTTAGGCGGATAGACGCTGAATTATTATATTATTATTATTTATTTTAGTGTTCTGTCTGACGACAGGTCCATATGAACAGGATCCTTCCATCCTTTTCTCGGACTGGGACCTGTTCATATACGTTCTTGGCAGATGATCCAGAAGTGGTTTACCATTGCCTTCTTCTGGGTCCATATGAACAGGATCCTTCTTCCATCCTTTTCTCGGACTGGGATCTGTTCATATACGTTCTTGGCAGATGATCGAGAAGTGGTTTGCCATTGCCTTCTTCTGTGTGTGAATGGAGTAATTGTTGGGATGCCACGGAGGAAAACTCCGTGTTGCCTAGACCACGGCCTTGCCCAACACAAGTTATAAATTCGAACCCGAGACCCCAGGATTACAAGGCCAGCGTTCTAACCGCTAGACCACCGAATTATTACCCGGGTTTAATTCGTGGTGACTTCGAGTGAGATGAAGTGGGACTGTAGAAGGATTTGCTCTTAATTCTACCCCCATCTATCACCACGCGATGTCCGATAGCCCTGACATCGTCTATCACAAGCTCGGTCTTAAGTTAGAGGCTTCATCTCTGACCGGGACTTGGCTGGTCTCGAAGTGAAGTTACAACGTCTTAAAACATGAAATATACAACTACATTAATATTTCCGTTCATTGTATAAAGCCTTGAGAAATTATGTTTAATTCAGTACACTGTTGTTGAAACTTCAACTTTTTTTTAAAAAAAATGTACAAACATTTCTTAGTCTCTCCGACGTTATTGTACTGGTTCACAATTTAAATCTGACAGACGTGATGGGCGACTTAAAAACCGGTTTAGTTTTCTTGTTCCCCAGTAGCAAGGGAGGATTCATAATTTTTCCTTGTCTCATTACGATGTCTAAAGTAACAAGTTATCTCCATGGTTACAATATATTGCTGGCCTTTATTCCTTTATGTGTAACAAAATAAAGGCTTATGGAATCCATGTCCGTGTGTATATATATATATATATGTCTGTCTCTTACTTTTGAAAGCTTTCGAGACTTTCAACGTATTCATATTGAGTTCTGGATGTAGGACATGTCATTGTATGTTCTCCAGCAGCTGTTATCTTTAAATCTGTTTTCGAGAATAACAATGAAACGATCTATGGGTGAGATGCGGGCAATACCGGCATATTTCCATTTACAAATTGAGGAAATTTTATAGGGCAACGAGATATGAAGATATGTAGTCTTACAGGTGATTACCACTGTCTAAAGCGACCTATTGCTAAATACAAATACAAGTTGAGGGAGGGTGAATGGTGAAATCGGTAAAATAGGCGATTTCCACTCACCTGAATGCTAGAAGCTGGATTTTCCCATGCGTCCACATGACGTTAGAGCGGTGATAAAATTTTCTGGTCGAATAGTAGTTGTTATTGCCGACTAAGATATCGACAACGTTCGTAGTATTAATTCACCTCGATATGATGGCAGCAATGTCCACAGCAGTGTTACCAAACAATTGCACATGGTAGCGGGGAATTTCTTTTTAGAAAGAGAAATTCCTATGATCCAAGATGGGTTTCTAGCGAGGTATTGACAAATGTATTCACGTGGTTGCAACACGTGTTATTTAGATTTTTTAAACTCACCTTATTTTTTCGGCGTTGAAAAGTAATTTTATTAGAACGCATTACTATTTTACTCTAAAGTACTGAAATTCTCGTTATGTAAACATGGTATTATAATTATGAAAGGAACATAACCAAAATCTGCATGGTGCTATCAACAAAGAACTATCAAGAGAGCCTGAAATTCAAAACCAAAGATATTTTAGTTTGTGTCGAAGATTCTAAATTCTGGGTTTTAGTTTTAGTGGTATCACGTACCTCTAAAGCGTTGGTAAACTACCACACTGCATGCCGCAACAACCAAGGAGACAAAATTTGTCGAAAAGGCAAGTGGGTGAGGTGTAACATGCAATGGGATGAGCATGGGAGAAGTCTAGCTCCCAAATAGTGTTAATACATTTTGTTGGTTTCAATATTAATCTCTACATTCTTTTCTCATAAGCCAGTCGGCTTACAGGTTGGTGAATAGATACTGAAATGTCCAGTGGCTCCAGCGATAAGTTAACACTCCCAGAGGCTCAAGAAGGTTTTCTTAACATAGTCAGGAAGTTGAATGATTCAGACAATTTCAAGCAGCTACTTAATTGGATACAGTGGAATTGGTTAAATGGTAACCTATCATGGTCTTATCTCAACATTGAATACACTTGATTTTGACATGAAGTTAATCATCAGTTGTAAATTTTTCAGATTGTGATGTCTCTCAGTCTTGTAGGTGGTTATCATTGTTTTTGAAGGGTTTTTTTTTTTTTTTTGGGGGGGGGGGGGTTGAAGCATTTAATAGACTAGTAAGATTTTCACTTCTGTGAGAATCTCAAATCTCATTAAATAAATTAAGTTAAATTTATTTCACTAAACCAGTCACTTGTTTTTAGTTTTTATTTTATTAAAGAGATGCTGAAAGATTTTGATACCTTCCAACTTTGCTTTAGAATATAACATTAGGAATGTCTGAGGAAATCAGAAACTGCAGTTGAACGGAACACATAAGACAAATGTGTTCAAGTATTTGGGAATTATAGTATCAAATCAAAATTACATTCGTGAAGGAAATTAGAACACTTTAAATTTTAATTATTTGTTCAAAATTTTGGTTTGGAAACATGAAGGTAAGAGACTACTTAGATGATCTAGCCATAGATGGAAGGATGATGATGCCGACAACAATAACAATAATAATAATAATAATATGGATCTCAAATAAATATCTTGTGAGGATTTGAACTGGGATGTCAGCTTTTAGTTCATGTCATTTGGATACTGAAAGCTTCAGTTTGTAAAAACTTCTCTTTGCAAGATGGGAAACTGAAGGAAAGTGATACATCTGAGGAGATACTAGATTCCATTGCTGCCGATCTGCGCAGCTCTCTGCCGCTTGAAGCCGTTCTTCCTTCGGAAATTATCCGAGCACCTACTTTTGGAAAGGTGAGGTAATATTTGTCAACCCTTCATTTGTGGATATTTTGTGCTCTTTAAGCAATCATATGAGACCAAGGTGTTCTTCTGTGTTACTTAAAAGTTTTCTGTTTTCCGAGCTACTTCACTTGAAGTCTTACGTATTTTCAGAATTCTGATTGTGAGCAGCAACACACTGTGCATGTTGATGCATTCTTGTATGATGATGAAATGGTGGATGTCTTATGTGATGAAGGGAAAATTCCCCGAAGCTGCTGTTTGCAGTGCGGCTCTCTTAATACGCGGCCTTTAAGTAAGTGTCAACTTTTGTATGCCTTGATGCAACTGGCATTATTTGATGCTTGATAAGGGAATGGTTTGTCTTTAATTGTGTTAATATTTTAAGGCTTGAATTTTTCACAACTTACAATATTCATTGCATCGTGTTACTGGTATTACAGCATGTCAGAATGTAAAAAAAACATTGACGCAGAAGAACGTAGTTACTCTGAGCAACTGAGTGTTCAAACATAACCTTCAACGTGGAGTTACTTGATAACCATGTTGTTCTATTATCTGTACTTCTGTCTCTACAGCTTTCATTTCACACTCTTTGTCCAGAGAGAGGCTGTTATTTATTTTCAAGTCAATGCTGCCACCGCTAGACGGCAAGGTGGTCCTTGATGTCGGATCCCGGCTAGGTGCCGCGCTATATGGGGTGAGATTCCTCTCGTTTGATAAAGGAATTAACTGAAGATGAAGCTGTTTCATGTTTTTTTTTTATTTGGCCTTGCTACGGAAAAGTTAGTTGATTTAAATGTTTACTTTGTAGTACCTAAAAGAAAATTAAAAATATTTTTTCCAATGAAGTACACATATTTTTCAAATGTGTTCTTTGTGTGTTTTTTTAATATATTGGCCTTGATGTTCATTTATCTCAAATCCATATCTAAAATAATCCTACTTTGGCTGCATTCTTACCGAGAATTATTTTAAAATGGGATTTCTAGAACTTGGTCAGGTTTATATTTTAAATAACAGTGAGGCAATGATGAAAGAAAGAAAATGCTGAATATGGAACTGAATTCTGGTCATCCATCAGCAAGTCATTCTACTGACTTAACTCTCTGAGCTCACTCCTAAGTACTGTACAGTTTATAAATTTCTCTGTTGTCAAGTTTGCCTTTATACCTAAAGTAAGCAGTCTTAATAGTTTCATTTGTTGTTAAGGAACTAAATCTGCCATATAATGCAATTTAAAATTATTTTGAAATTAATATTACGATTTGTTTTCTGCTTTTGTTTTGTTTTGTTTTGCAGGCATGTGTCTATTCAAAAGCATCTAAGATAGTTGGAGTTGAAATTAATGCTGATTTTTGTAATATTCAAAAGAAAATTATAGAGAAGTATAATTTTCAGGTTTGTATACATACATAAAAATCAAACTTAAACTTCATAAAAATATTTAGTAGTGGTTTGCATTTCTTCTGCATCGGGTTTAATGGTTATTCTTCTATGTCTTGGGTCCCACAGCCTCATTTATGCACCATAACCTCTGCAGATGAAAAACATTATTACATAACCTAAGATTTAAAAATTCTTTTCATGTTGTTGCTGGATCAGTCAGGTGGTAGAATTTGCACTGTCCAGTCTCCCCTTGCCCTGGGGACAGTCAGCACAAGCATTTTAGTTTTACCCCGTTGCTCCCACAGGACCGGATTGAGATTATTGAAGCAAATATAGCTCACAGACCAGACATAATACTCGCTGTTGACGTCGTCATCATGAACAATGTGTTTGAATTCTTCGTGGAACCTGAACAACAAATCTCAATCTGGAAATTTCTGAGACAAACCACAAAGTCTGGAACTTTGCTAGTGACTGTACCACCTCTTGAAGAAACATTTTCCTATCTGCAAGTAAGTATTAAGCTTTAATTGTTTTGAGGAAAAATAATGTTTTATGTCATGTAAATAGGACATGTTAATATCAGAAGCTAACTTTAAGAAATATCCCAGGTGTTAATTAACTACATTGTACATGGTCTTGCTTGAAAAGTTGATACAAATTTTGATCAAGAAATTCCCTACTTCTGTGGAAACTGATTTTTCATCACCGTGATCACGTAAGCAACCACTGGATCCTGTCCTGTTCCACACCTGCACACCCTCTTTCTGTAAGACATACTTTAATATTATCCTCCTATCTGTGTATAGGTTTTGCAGTTGATTCCTTTTCTTTTATGCTTTTTTGACAAAAACTTTGTATGCATTTCTCATTTTACTAAAGTATGTTGCATGCCCTGCACAAAAATTTAATTACCTGAACAATGATGAGGTTTCTCGTAATGTAATTTTCTGATTTCCCCTTATTCTTTTGCCTTTCTTACATGAAAAAGTTTGTTTCAACATTTTGTTGTCATACGTCAATGTGTTCTTCCCTTAGGGAGACGTTACATTGCACATTAACTGTGTTTGATAAAATTTAATTAATTTTTGTCTATCTGTTCCTCTCAACATGAATATTTTAATAGACTCAGGTTAAGGACGAGACACACTCTTTTGAGCACAGTAACAGACCTTTTGGTTCTCCAGAGGTGCGGAATTTCTCGACTAGCCGAGCGACATTCATTCTTACGTCTAACTGATTAGAACAATGTATTTCAGACCGGAATTGTTTTATCGGAGTGGGTACAGGAACTGCCACTGTACAATCCAGATGCTGCCGGCATCACCATGAGTGCCGAGGAAATGCAGGAATTAAAACACTATCGAGTGATTTGAAGTAATGTCATTATGCGAGTAAAATTCTCCAGACATTCAAAGCATCTCATCATAAAATAAATGAATGTAAGTAATATAAAGAGGTTATTTAATCTAAATGTTACATTTATTATTAACCTTTTAACTGCACTGATTTGGGTGACAGATTTGACATAAACTTTGAATCCAGATTGCCTCAGTTGTATTTTCTCAATAATTTTCTAACCTTATCCTTCGGCTTCTTTTGTCATGTAAGAATATTTTTAAATTTGTTGTTTGTCCATAGTATTTAATAGAAATAAATGGTACTTGTGGGTTATCGGGACACGTCGCTTTAAAAATAGGTTAGGTTAGGTTATTATATTTTATTTCAATAATTGACAAATTATTATATTTTGTTTGGATATGCATGAGATGTTAATTGTTGTTACGCATGCGCAGTTTTCCTTCCAATCCAAGTCCAGATATTCTCTCCTTCACTTAATTTTTTCAGATCAAATCTTTCTGTGTCCCGATAACCCACAAGTGCCAAATAAGTATTTGTATGTGTTATCTAAACCAACTAATTAATTAGGACTTTCAAAATTCAGGTAACGGCCTGTCATTTCATAGCCAGATACATCTGGAAACAAAATAAATGTTTTACGTTGGACTGTGTTGCAGAATAAATTGTCTTTAAATCTTATTATCAGCGAATGATAATGTGTCTAATCGAATTAAAATAATTATCATCTTTGATAATTGCGATGAGTCAGACATGAAATTAAAAAGAACTTGCCAAAGGGGAAAGCAGTAATTAGAACTAATTAACATCAGACGTAGCTACAGGCGCAATTAACATTCAAACAGTTGTGTTGCCAACGTTTGGACAGTCTGTTACGTGTTACGTTTTTATAATAAAGGTACTGAAAGGCTTTTGTGGGATGCTGCCAAACTTTTCACCCAAAAAGTATCTTTTGATTTACACACATGTAACGCCGCGCCTGGAAAGTGTGTAGAGGGGGGTAAGGAGTTACGGCTTCTGCTGTAAAAGGAGGTGACTGATTGGTGAGTTTCACACAAATTTTAGCCCTGAAAAAGAAACTCAAAAGTAACCATCGAGAAGGTTGTTTGAGTTCTTTAGTCGTGATTACAGTGGCGAACAGGAATCTGTACCATTTATGAGAATCAAATCTTGATTATTTAGTCCCTAGCTACCGACTTGTCGATGTCATGATTCACAACAGAAGAAAATTGAAAATATAAGTTGAAGTGGAAGTAAGGAAGACTCATAAAATTGATTAGACTATGCCCCACTTAATGGTACCTGCACCTTGTTGTGGTAGTGGGGCCGAGTACCTCAGTGACCCCAAGAGCTACTTGTAGGGCCTCCCTAGCCAGATTGGTCGAGGGGGAGAGGTCAGACTAAGACAGGTACCCTGGTCCTCCAGGTTGGGGGTTGGTCACAAGGCTAACAACCTTGCACCGTAAAAAGGAAGATGTTTCGAAACCTCGATCAAAGCCTCGGACAGACGGACCTAACAGAGGACCGAATGGAAGAGGAGAATTGAGGAGGCCATGGACCGAATACGGACCGGAGAGCCATAGAAGAAGAAGAAGATGTATGGCATGAAAATAATGAAATGAGGATATTAACCATTGATTTATTCAGCATTTTCTTGTACACTTTATTTAGTGTTGTTCTTGCAATTCACTTTTCAATTGAATTACTATATTCTAACATTCACATTTTTTATTTAAATCATCATAAAAATTATATGAATTGTGGATGTTACAGACTGAATGAAATGAGGCTTACAGGTGCAGACCCGAGAAAACGTCATGGATCGAGCCCTGCTGTTTCAGCAACTTTTTGTGATCTACGCACACTATTTGAAATTACATATGGACGGTATTACAGTTTCTGTGATAAGTTACAAACATATAAAAATATTTAAATATTTTCCATCTTTTAAACTATTATATTAATTATTAATTTTAATAAATGAGAGATGAGGTCAAGCTGCTTTTCCCCAAAAAAAAAAAAAGATTTAGAATGTGATTTAAACAACAAATTATGTACACTTAATTAAATGAATGCAATTTCCATATAATATTTAATAAGTTATTTATTTTAGTATGAAAAATAAGTTAAGTCGTGTTTCAAAACAACGAAGACACTTAGAATTTGCGTTCAACTACATCTGAATGCCCCTCTTCAGTTGGGTGTGTCATGTCATCTGTATCACCCAGCTGAGCCGAAATCGCACCTTCAGTTTTTTCTGGCGCTTCTGTCCAACCACCCATTTCCAAGTCCATTTTTCTTTGCCTTTCATCTTCCTGCAAATAAACGATGGCAACGGTCGATTTAATATATCCTAAAATCTGAAGACAGAACGTCACAAAGGATATATTCTGATACTGAAACTAATCCTGAACATTTACAATCCTATCCACAACAGAAGACACCAAACTTTGTAGGTATTCTTACTATGAGACATAATTATGAAAATTGTATATGAATTTCTTTGTTCTCCCCTTCAAACTAATATACAACCCATCGCAGTTTCTTAATCACCCTAATGACATATGAAGATTATAAATTCTGAAGTTCACCTTTACAAACTTTAAAAACTTTACATATGTACAAGTTCTGTGTTAAATTTGTCTGTTTGGCACGATTGCCATATTTATAATTGTTGATTTAAAAATTTGTCCATCAGTATGCTGTTTCAAAAGTATTAAAAATGAATTTGTCTTGAATATTTATCCTTAAATTAAGGAAACTAAGTTACAAAACAGACAAAAGTTGAAATTTAGACACCTACTTCAGCCATTATTCTGTTGTATTCATCTATCTCATACTGATATTTTGGAGTAGTAATTCCAAAAAAACTTGCAAGGTGCTCTCCCAAATAGTCACACACTTGCAATGACTTGCTTCCAGCATGTACTGTGTGATACCAAATCCACGATCCCCATGGTAGCAGGCTCTGAAATGAAAATTTAACACAAACCAGCAATCAGAAATGGGAACTGTAACTTATTATTTAATCAGTCAATAAATCTCTGGTGGGACCCAAGTCTTGCATGAGGATTTCATGAATGGTTCTGTTACAAATTAAATTGCATACAATTGTAAACTGGAAGAAGTTAAAATACAAAATCTTAAAAATTACCGGGTTTAATTTGTTTGTTATTTGAGCTGATGTATCTGGTTCATCTTCATCCGAATATTCTTCAATTGTCCCGTCACTGAAGTGAATAACCTTTTTGGGTTCTTTCTTGTTCCTTAAATTGACCTTACATGATTTATCTTCTGCTTCGTTGCTTGCCTACGAATAAAATACAATAAAACTAGCAGATAATCCCAAGAGCTTTAATGCACATAACCTATAAATCGTAATTATTTACAATGCACATCTTACGTCCGTTTTAGGTGACTGTTCCGGGTTCGTATCAAAAATACTTGAAAACTGTACATTATTATCACCGCTTACATTGTCACCAGATTCCATTTTATTCAATTGAGGTCAAGATAGTTTTTTTAACTCGTTTCAGTTTGCTTGGAATTGTGACACATGTCACGCCCGTATTGCGAAACCGTCTGGTTACATGTATTTGAGAAAGGATTAACCAAAGAAAAAAAGCAGTTTAGTTGATACGTGAACCATTGCTATTCACGGAATGTGAACCACTACGTTTTATCTTTACAAGCACTGGAGGCGTGGTCCACGTGAGGAACACGTAACTATAACGCAATCGACTTACGAAGAAATATTCGTCGAACGAAAATTATGTGTGAATAGGTGTTAATATTTGTATACGTACTTGAGCAATTGTGAACTTTCTAATTAAATCTATCATCTGTACACACAATATCTGCATCAGTTCTTTCCTGCAAATAGGCCTGGAACGGAAAGCACTGTAAAGGAAGATTTACAAGAGCAAAAAAGGTACGCCACGCAATGTCAGATGCGTAATTTGGCGTTACGATCCAACATTATGTTTGTTTTGAGTTGTTATTGATGTCTTCAGTTTTGTAGAGTGCAAAAATGTTGCTGTTTACCATCACAGAATATATAATAATATTGCTACGTACGAACAGGCAATGTGTGGGCGGGACTTCATTATTTCGTTAATTTTGTTTTGTTTTGTTCTGCGTAGCGTCAGTGAAGAACACGTGTGTTGTGTGCATTGAAGGTCACGATTTTTTCACTTTCGTTATAGATTTGTTAGCAAATTAAGGAGTTTAGTTGCATCCAACGTGATCTACCGAATTGTTCTGGTCGAACGTTCCAGCGTGTCAGTTATTCAGTGTGTGTGTGTGTGTATTAGGATAATGCTAACGTCAGTTTCACTTGTGAAATTCACACTCTTATTTGTTTGTGTTGGGATAAGGTGAATATTTATATGACATCGAGTTACAGAAAGTAAGGTTAAAGCAGAAGTGTCACGTTTTGCATGACATGTTTGCACAAATTTTAGACCTTGCTTGTGTAGATTTGATAGATGACTCATTGTGTAAGTTGCGACGGGTAAGCCGAGATTGAGATGAGTTTTCCACATGTGTGGTGCGAGAGTTAAACGAGGTATACAAAGATTTGAAGTACCGGTATAGGTAAAAATTATAAAAACGAAAAGGTATGTTAAAATATTCATTATGCAATTCTTGATCATTCTAATGAAATTCAGAAAATATGCAATAAATTAGTTGACCTCGTGATATGTGTAGGAAAGGAAGGGGAAAAGTACAAATACTTGTCTTTGCCATGTTGTTTTGAAGTTAGGAAATGTAGTCACATGCCATAAATGTTGATCTTGTAATCTAAACTTTGTTTCCCTTTTTGTAAATGAAACTGTTTAAGGCAGAGTGAGTAGAAGCCAGGAAAGAAGATTGGCAGCCAGCATTTTTAAATTTCTCTGTGTTACTTTGGAGGATGTGCCTAATTAAGTGACCAGAAACAAGTACAACAGCGAGGTGAATACATGACCAAGGAGAAGTGACATAAAAACAGTTCCAAAATGACTGAAAAGAAGTCATCCAAGCTGATCGGCTATTGGATGTCTGAGAAGAAGAGCCAAAAACTTAATTGGACTGAATTTGGTAACATATGCAGGTAGGGTTTGTTTTAAAAGGTAATTACTGAGATGTAAATTTGGTTGAGTTTAGTGAACATGGACTTTTTAGAGTTCGGATGTAAATTTTAAATTTGTATTGATGCATACTTTTATTTCATTCTATTCCATACGCTTGGGATGACTTAATGTAAAATTATTTCTAAATGTATCTCAGTGGGAGAATATTTGCATATATGCTTCTAGAAGATCATATTAAAACATCTCTTCGTTTAGACCGATGCGTTTGCCAGCAATTTTGCTGTATGTTTATGTCAGGTGGTGATACATCAGTACGCAAATTTATACAGAACGGGGCTGAACGTTATGGCTGAAGTGGGGAGTTCTTTGGTTCATATCTCAGCCCAGATATTATCCTGATTGAAGTTTTTCATGGGTCTCTGAAGTACTTCTGGGTAGTTGCCAGGATAGTACCTTAAGTTTTTCCATTAATACTTCCCAACCCCAGTCAGACGTTCTGAAAGGTCAGACACCAATGCACTCGATTGTTATCTTTTATGAAGACATAATCGGTTGCTTGTGTGTCATCCATGGCTTTTGCGGTGACTAAATTCAGTGAAATCTTCTTGGTCTTGTGTTCTTATCAATTTCAAGTGGATTTTTGAATTTGTAATTTGGAAAATTGTACTAGAGATATAGGCATATATATGTGTATACTTTTCAGGTAGTTTAAAGTGCAGATCTTTCCTTTAATTCAAGATGAAAAATTGAATTAGATGGTCTTGAAGCCAAAATATTTCAAATAGGTATTTGTTACCCCCGATTGAAAGTGCGTTCAGTTAGCTTTCAAATTAACCAAAGTCAGAATTATAACTGAATTTTGACCATATTTCAGAAACTGTGTAATTGAAGAAAACCCAAATCTTTCAGAATTTGAATTCATGCTACAAAAAAACATGCAGGTATAAAATTTTGAATTTTTGAACTCTTTTATGGGACGTTGTGTAAACTGAGGATTCTCTGTAAGTCCGTTATATAAAGGCAGGAATAAAAAAATATAAACTGTGATTAGAATATGCAGCGATATTAACTCTTTTGTTTAAATAACTTGAACTTGATAATCAACAAAACATTTCTGTTGAAATTTTCCGTTGTTCCCTTTGAAGTCATTTATATCTCAATAATTTACTTAGCATTTTACTGACTTACATATAGAAACTTTAAGAATGAATATTTCAAGTTAATTTTTCTGTTTTATGATTGTAGCCATGTCGTTAAGTGTGTTTGTTTTCTTCTTTTCAGGAAATATGGATTTGATTTAGTTAAGGTAAATGAAACATGTTCTGGATATATTTCTTTGTAGATCACAGTCATGATAAAGGAAAATGTTGACAAATTAATTCCGGCATCATCGTTATAAAATATATAGATTTTAAAGCTCGAGCAATGAATATTTTACACATTTATCATCTTTGCTCTTGAAAGGCTGATGATGTGTTTTGGGTTTCAGCTGGACTTGAGCCGACCACTAGAAGAACAGGGACCATTCACAATTATTGTGCACAAGCTGACGGACATAATAGTTTTGGCAATTAAGGGGGACGCGAAGGTATTGATGAAGTCGCAACGTGAGATGCCATTGCGATAATACTGCGTATAGGAATCAGTGGCTTATCTTTTGTCCTTTACAGGCCTGTGCAATGATGTGCAATGTCGAGTCGTACATTAAAGATCATCCCGAAGTATCGATTATCGATCCACTGGATAATGTTCACAAGCTTTTGGATCGCTACCAGGCATATAGCATTATACACAACAGTGACCTTGAGGAAGCAGGTAATTGCTGTTGACTAGGTTTTAGTAGCATGACGTACTGATGAATATTATTTTTACTCAGCACCGACAGCATTTGCGCATGGTACGAGGGGCGTGTTTCGTTTTACAGGTGTCTTCACGCCTTCGTTTGTCGAACTGACGTCAAGTGATTACAAAGAAAACTGTGAAACGTTAAGGTTGGCCGGTGTGGACTTTCCTTTTGGTAAGTTCATGTTTATATTGACATGTGTGCGAGAGATTCTAACCTGTTTCTGCTGCGTGAATAAAATTTGTGATATCTGCCTTGGTACTAAATTGTTTCGATGATGGAGCATAAAAATGGATGTACCAAAACATTTTGTATTTTGTAATGCAGTCTCTTGTGAATACAGTAATGAATTTTTGAGTTCTATAAAATGTCAGAAATTTCTTGACTGTGTTGGGTTTTCTGGGTTGGTGGGGCTCGAGTACCTCAGTGACCCCAAGAGCTACTGGTAGGGCCTCCCTAGCCAGATTGGTCGAGGGGGAGAGGTCAGACTAAGACAGGTACCCTGGTCCTCCAAGTTGAGGGTTGGTTGCAAGGCTAACAACCTTGCACCGTAAAAAGGAAGATGTTTCGAAACCTCGATCAAAGCCTCGGACAGACGGACCAAACGGAAGAGGAGAATTGAGGAGGCCATGGACCGAATACGGACCGGAGAGCCATAGAAGAAGAAGAAGATCAGTGTGGACTTGTAGGTGGATCAGGTGGTTTTTTAGGAATGTACTTTCTTGATCTTTAGTGCACGAGACAGAATATTTCAACCTTGATTACAAAGTTTGTTACAGATTGCAGTAGTAACCGACCGTCAGTAAGATCAGTTTTGCCGGACAGACTTTGGTGTCGGAGATGAATAGTGAATCAGTCGTGGCTTTTTTTTATGATACGTTTGCCACCAGACTGTGTTTGTCGTGTGATGTTACTAAAGCACCTTATAAATGTTTTAGTAAGATAGGGCAAATTCTGAGATAAAGGAGGATATCTTCCGCAAACACAAGCAAGAGAGATACAGAAGAGCGAATTTGTCCTGTGACAAAAATTAATCAGTACAAGATATTGTAACTGAAAACTAATTGACATTCTGTATCCTGAACATTAAAGGCTGTATAGTGACTGAATATTGTATTTTAGTCATTAGCACTGTTTTTTCATATGTCGGAGGCCACGAGTTCACGTCTTAATCTGACTTTTATTTTTTTATGAATATGACTGTCTTTTGTGATGTGTCATGTAGTCTGGTAGATGTTTACCGCTTCAGAGGTGCCTCCGTCATCAGGGTGATTATGACGAGGACTTCAAGCACCTCTGAAATTTTTATTAACTTCTGTCAGACAAAATGGAACGACATCCCAGAAGACGGTCATCTTCATACTCTGAAATCTCATAAATATTTTTTACTATTTTACTCAGTCCCTCCACAATGCTATTGAAGGTGATGATAGCAACTAATTAAACTTGTATCAGGTTTTTTTGTGTGTGGGGGGGGGGGGCTTATGTTTCTTCAGAGTTGCAGTTTTGATTACATTTTTTGTTTTTCTTGACGCGTGTTTGTCATAATGTGAATACTCTTCTGTTGCAGTCTGTAAACCATCAGTCTCTCATGGTTCCAGCAGCGCGCATGAGGTACGTACAGCGTCTTACTTCTTGCTGAATTTTATGTATAAGTTCATAATCATGCTGATGTCGTAACGAAGTTTTCTTGAACGTTAATTTAGTCTATTATTAAATGTGTTGAGAATGTTGAAACATTTAACTTTTATTGTTCCAGATGGCAGTAATATTCAATGAGAATGGTGTAAAGGATTGCCATCTGCCATGTGTCGCGCAAAGTTTCATCAATCACAACGCTCTCTTGTACAAAATATATATGGTAGGAGATGAATACTTTGTCGTGGAGCGGCCGTCGCTGAAAAACTTTTACCCGAGCGGTACGAATCTCACATCTTATAAGAAATATTTTCTTTTTTTTAGACCGAGCGATACTCATCAGGAAATTGTGCCATGGCTGAAGAATGTAAGCATGTATGTGTGTTTCTTTGATGTTTCAGATCGTGAGGCAATCTTTTTTCACAGCCACGATGTTTCGAAAGCAGATTCCACTTCCAGCCTGAGCATTCTGGATCCGAGCGACATGACGTTGTCGACTCCTCGTCCTGACCCTGCAAAAGTACAGCGAATTGTCTACACTTTGAGAAAAGTGCTTGGGATGTCGCTGTTGGGAATTGATATAATTATTGAAAATGGCAGTGGACGATACGGAATCATTGATATCAATGAGTATCCAGGTGATTCAAAATGTTCATATTTCTCAGTACCACGTAAATTGATTTCTTATCAATAAGATCCTTCCGACCGGCCGTCATCGCTAACTTGTTTCTCCTTTCAGCAGAGATAACATATTCATTCCACTAATATTATTTGGTTATGGCACGAGTTTCGTTTTTCTTCACAGGTTACGACGGCTATCCAGATTTCTTTGACAGCCTCATGAAGTGCATATTGGAGACGATCAACCACCATTCGTACACGGCACGCAAAACAGACCTGTCAAGTACCGAGTTTTGCCTTCCTCTTATGAAGCCCACCATCAAGAGTAAGATTAGTGACATAATGTCACCAGGAAATGGTGATCAGGATGATTCGGGTTTTGACACTGGTGATTCGAGTGACGAGAAAAAGAAACGGGACTTGTCGGTGGGTTCTCTTACCGCGAGTAAGAGATCGAGTACCGCCGCGTCGGAGTGCCGCAATTCGCACGAGACGTCAAAGGTTTGTTAATATGGCTGCATGTCCTGATTTACAAAATGATGTCACTTGGCGTGAACAGGTTCATGTACTGCACATATATTGTACAAAAGGGTGTTTACGTTTCTACTGAACTGGTAGGATTGTCAGATCAGAGCAAAGGGCTCAGAATTTAGTGATTACTTACAGCAGTGGTCCCCAACCTTTTTTGTGCCTACGGGCACATTTGAGAGTTTACGAGATCGTGGCGGGCACCAACCAATTAACAAAGCCAAATTTTCTTTTCTCTGGACAAATAAGA